TATATATATATATATATATATGTGTGTGTGTGTGTGTGTGTGTGTGTGTGTTTGTGTGTGTGTGTATGTCCTACAAGTGGACAAAAATGGTTAAATAAATGAAAAGAGTACACAATCATTAATGTTATGTGACAACCGGGGGGCCCGTATAAGTTTTTTGACGGCTTCGATTGATGACTGTCTTGTCGGAAATTATTGCGTCTACCGGGGTAACTTCTTTATGGTATCCGGGTCGGCTTGGTGACAGTAAATTTTGCTCGGCTCAGATGTGGACGATCTTGACTTTTGGAACTCGGTTGATATTAAAGGGTGATCAGCTTGAAGAACCTGCTATTTTTTTATATATATATAATGTATACTTTATCCCTCGCTTATTTCGCCACATGTCACATTTTTATTAATCGAGGCCAAATTAGGTGTCAACAAGAGACCCCCGAGTTTAGGACATGTTCTGAATAGAATTGTTCTGAACTCGCGTTATTACATAATTTTGGCGGACTTTTGCATGTAATATTTCGAGCTTGGGGCTACGCTGCACCAAATAACATTTACGTGACACAAGATTACGACTTTATCTTATCGGAGTTTACCGAATGGATTTGATATGTAATGTCTGGATGCTTTGGGACCCGTGGACGTTTTGTTGATCGTTTTCAGGCTTTGGCCTGACGTTTTGTATGTTAGTCACGTTTTTTCTGTTCTGGAAAATTAATTCAACGACATTCATAGTCAATTCTTTTAGAATCGTTATCTGAATGGGGCCTAAGTGGCCTAGTCGTAAAATTTGGTACTTGCTCTTTGCGTTTTTGTCGTATTGAGATGGCGCAATTTTTAATTTATGTGATTATTTTTCTATGTTGTGTGGACATGGTCGGATAACTCGGTACCCGATCTTTGGACTCGTTCACATTTAGTTATCGCTTGGTCGGGTGGTGTGGTGTCCGATCTTTGACATGATGCTCATTGTACGAGTCAAATTTTTGGAAAAATTGTGCTCTTTGGGCAACCTGAATTTTGGATAAGATGCTACACGACTTGGTCAGGAGATGCTCAGGACGTTTGGGCCCTTTTGAACGTTTAGTGGTACTTTGGCCTTTTTCCGATGTCAAGATGTATGTATGATGCGTGTATATGTCGATTGCATGAATGTATGATTAGTCTATGAATGTGCGAATGTATAATGAGCACGTGCGGTGAATAACTAAGGCGCGATAAATAATGTTACCTCGTTATTTCGTCGGGCTTGCCTTTTTGTTGACGGTTACGACCGCCAATCTTTTTCTGTCGGTAGGTGCTATGCCTTGCCGGAAAGATCCCAAACCTAGAAAGGAGTTTGGTTTACTTTTTGACACATATGGTCATCCCAGCCGATAGGTCTTAGGATTTATGCCTTACCAGTGTGGGCCTAAACCTAGAAAGGGGTTTGGTTAGAACGAGTTTGATTAACTCTTTGACACATTGGTCTCTCCAGTCGGTAAGGTCTTACGGTTTATGCCTTACCATTGTGGGTCCAAACCTAGAAAAGAGTTTTGGTTAACTTTTTTGGAAGAATTGCAGATTCGACGTAGTGGGACTTTGAGTTTGACTTTTTTATTTTATTTGATCGGCCGGAGCAGGGTCTCGACAACGGGCTAGATAGAGACGTTGACCTGCCGGATTAGTGGCTTGACGGTGGAAGAAATAATGACGTCGGGCCGATCGGAGCACGGGCTCAACGGTGGGAAAAATATGGACCGGCGATCCTCGCCCAGCCCTGTACATGTGTACCCAGTTTTTGTGAGTCGCTGCTTTTTTTATCGGTAAAAGTAAATTTATAGATCAAAATTGTTGTTCGAACGACCAACATACGACCTACAAAAGCGTAGTGGGCAGCCACATGCACGGCTCCTCACTCGCAGGTCATAAGTCTAAGAAGCCAACCACAAGTCTGTTGCTCGCTCTAGTCCCAAGCAAAACAAAAATACAAAAACCCCAAACGTGTTGCGGAGCGACCCTCAACTCGACGCTCGTCTTCCCTAGCACGTGAGGTGGCCCGCATCTGCGAGCTCTCAAAATGCCCTTGCCAAAGGGATACCTATCATTCTCCAAGGGCTTTCCTCTCATATTCGGCAAGGACATTCGGATACAATGCAAAGATTGTACTATAAACATGGGTTTGGATCTTATAGATGACTCATTTTTAGTCCATATAAGAGCGCCTCTTTGAGTGTCAATGGCCTATGACGGCGACTAACTCACTCTCAAATTAGCCCCCAATTTTTTAAGCTAAAAGGGCACTCAAAAAATAGGTGACTTGGTGATTCATCAATAACACCACAAAGAAAGCAATCGGGTTTACATCAAGACACTCTAACTGGTCCTTTGTACGTATACGATTGGGCATTTCTAACCAAAAAATGAAAGTGTTTGACGGTATTGCAAGGGCCCCAAATTACCCCCAACCATGACACCAATGTTCCGCGAGACTTTAAGAAATCATATCAATTTCGCGACCCATTTTGCTTACCTCGTGAACTCCAACGATGAAGTAGGCCTTCCGCGGCTTGCTCACTACCCATCTTATCAACCAAGACATGTCGGATCTCGAAGAGGGCAAGTCATGTTTGTGTATTTTTCCCATTCCCACATGAACTTTCCCCCTAAGTAAATGTCGTGGATCCATTTGTTTGTGAGCCGCTGCTTTGTGAAAAAAATACAGTACTATAGCTTACTACCAATTAAAAAAAAAGTTTGGAAACGTGAAAAATATGATAGTTCGGAGCATGACCATGGAAATGTTGACTATTCCTTAACCTAAATAATTAGCTTGTTATGAATTTTTCAATCAAACTAGTTTTTTCTTACTAATAATTGTTCAACTTCCACACAACGCTATTTATTTCCACAACCACTACTTTGTTAATTTTTGGATGCAAAAATGACATTGAATGCCTTCCACATAGAAGGTAGACATTGAATGAATATTGACTTCCATTTAGAGTTGTAAAAAGTTGAGTCGAACTCGAGCTCGAGTCAAGCCAAGCTCAGTTTGATAACTAAATAAGCTAGTAATTGAGCTCAATTTTAGCTCGCTTATAAATATTAACAAGTCAACCTCGAGTCGCTCGAGCCTTCACGAATTGAAATATATAAAATTTCTTATTTTCAAGCATTAACGATCCGTGCCACTCATTTATCAAACAAATGAAGCCAAACTCAAACCTTAACAAGTCAAATCGAGTTTAAGTTCACAAGTAAAGCCAAACTCAAACCTTAACAAGTCAAATCGAGTTTAAGTTCATGAATAGTCTGTTTCATAAAACATTTATAGGTGTTTTTTTATTTATTTATTTATTTTTTTCTTATACACTTAACTGTGCGTTTCATCACTTCATGTAACATTTATAGGTGTATTTTTTATTTTTTATTTCCTTATATACCTAACTGTTTCTGGTTTTGCGTAGTATTGTTTGTTATCTTTTTTCCTCAATAATAGATTGTATTCTTTCTTTTAATAATAGATTGTATAGTTCCGAAGGAATGTATGTCCAAACTTGTATTGTTTTTAGTTTATTAATATAATGTTTATTATTTTGTAAAGAAAAATTAAATGCTATAATAATAATAATAATAATAATAATAATAATAATAATAATAATAATTAAACGAAAAATAACTGATATCGACACTACAAAGTTCAAACGTTCATGTGAGTAATTTGATGAAGCATCATGCTATGCTATGTATGTAGAAACTATTCCCAAGTCACAATCACTTCAAATAATCAGACAAGCACACTGAAAAAACGCTTATCCATCTAAATCAAGATCATCAGATCATAACCAGCGTAAAAAATATGAGCTAATTAACTTCACTCCACCACCCACCACCACCACCACCACCACCTTCTTGTTGATCAAACTGAACTTGCAATTTCTGATCTCCCATCCACCAAAGCAACCCTATGGCCCCTTCACAAACATCTTTTTTATGCAGCCACAAAAAGTGCTTCAACTAACAAAACCTTGAAGAAATCTAGCCAATACGAACCAAAATGACCGAGCTTCACGCTTACCATCCTTATCAAGACTTTGTACCGCTGACGCAAAATTCTTGCAAAAATCAGACAGAAAGTACCTTATTACCGCCACTCCCGACAATCGCCACACCTCCAGCATTCCTCCAAAGATGAAGACTCGAGCCAGGGCGAACAGCTGCTATGGACCGAAATACCACACACTTGACAGCAAAGCTCCGGACGAGGTTCGGTCAGGGAACAAAATTTACAAGGCTGAACCTCAATAGTGGTCCCCACAGAGACAATTGGTTCCCCCTCATCATATGATATCTCAACTATTTCATTTTCTGGAAGAACAGACAGATTTTCCAAATCTCCCACAACAACATTTTCGTGTGACTCATTTTCATCAGGCGCAAGCAGTTCATTGAAAGAGAAATATGTCTGAGGTTCAAAATCCGTATTGTCATCATAACCAATACCATCATAGTCCAACATTACACCGTCGTCAAAGCTGTTATCGGGAACATCCCATTGCGCTTGAGAGGATAACGGGTCCCGCACAGGGGTAGTGCCGTTGAATTCCAAAGGGCTGGTTGTTTCTGGATAACAATCTGACCTGCTTTCCCTCTTTGCATTTTTCCTAACTGGTAATTTCCCAGTGGAGTTGAAATTTGCTTCAAATGGAACTGATGAATTATTGCTTTCTTGCTTGATATGTCTTCTGACCAGCAGCTTCCTTGGCCCGGAAAAAGATACGTTTGAGTTATTCCATTCGTGTTCCGGTTCGGATGTTTGGGTGCACTGCCCAAGTTCAGAGAGAGAAAGGAGAAGGGTATCATCTCCTACTGCTTCATTTTGGTGTAATGTGGGATGAAGTTGTCCGTCTTCTAAAAAGGTCTCAAAGCTCGACTGAGAATTGGAGTCCATATCCTGAATATCGAGTTTAGGATTTCTGCCCTTCGTTTTCTTCTTTTTTACCTTATCACTGTACGGACAATGGGGGCGTTTTATCCTACGACACTTGCAGCATTTGTACCCCAACAAGTCGAAAATCTGAGACTCGTCCAGTTCAAGGGCCTCCGCATGAAACCAATCTGCAGGCGCAATAAAACTGACATCAGCTTGCATACTAACCAACATGAGGAAAAAAAAAAATCAGACATTAAAATACAACCCCTAAGCTTCAACCAAGTTACAAAAACCACTCCTTCGACTGTTACAACTTACAACCACCCCCCTTCACAGCTTTCCAGGGTGCAATTCCTAATACAAACAAATTTCAATCTGGTATATCAGATTTCAATGATTCTTTTTTCAACTTACAACAATCCCCTTCATAGCTTTCCAGGGTGCAATATGTAGAACATAAACAAATTTTAATCTGGTATATCAGATTTGAAATATTCTTTATCCCTATTCAGCAATCAAGCTAGATTTCAGATTTAGTTCTTGTAGTTACTATTACATGAGATTTACACTCATGCAAATGCTTGCACTGAAATCTACACATCTGTTGAGGGTGCAATTTGCACCAAAGGAAGAAACTTTTTCAGGGGGCTATTTGTGAGTTGAACTTGAAAGATAATTGCACTCCTCTCTAACAGATTTCAAGCAAGTATTTGTACTTAGAAAATGGAAGATGGTTTTCTTCCCTTCTTTTTTCTATACTTTTCTTTTTTGCATTTGCAATCAGGTTGAATCTTAGGAATAGTTTTGTAATTAATCACTATTTCGGATGTTGTGTTGTGAATAGGCTTACGGTCGCATGTTTCACAGTTGATGTACATCCGCTCGGCATTGTACGGTTTAGAACAAAGGCAGCAATCGGGTCTCTCAGGGTTTTTATCCGGATTGCCTCTCAGAATGATCTTTTTCAGTCTGAAATCAGCGCCAGTGTCTTCACAATTATTCTTCCTCCATATTAGGCCCCAATGCCTAATTTTATTTTTATTAGCTGTTCCCAAGTCATTACAAGATTTCATCTCCTTAGTACGCTTTTGTGGCTCAAAAGATGCCGGTGATGCTTTATGACCGACTACTTTGACACGTTTGCTGGAGGTAACTGCTTTAGGGACATCTCGGACTTGAAGAAGCAATGGGCTTGTTGGGGACCCGTAGCTATGCGGGTCCTGATTAACGGCACGTGTCTCAGAGCAACGCTGGCAAGTGATTATAAAATTGTCTTCAGTGTTCGTATGACCTGTCATGCTGGTGACACAATTTTCATGGCATAAACCTGCACAACAGAACAAATTCAGTAAGTTTTCAGTATAAATGCCATAAGAGGTAGGACACTTGTTTGCACTAGCACCTTAGGGGGGGAAATGCATTAACATTGGTGTAATAAGACCAATAACAATTGAAGAAAACTGTGCATTCTTTACACTGATAGGCTTTGTTACGTAAGATATCCTAAGATTGGTCCCATGCCCAAAACAATTTTCCCCAGATTGATCACCACTGCATGTTGCAGTGTCTTAATTTGTAAAGCTTTACTTATCCCTCACACGACATTTAAAATATCTCATAGAAGTAAAATTAACACCTCGACCAGCATAAGTGAAGAAATAATACAACAGAAATAATTATGAATTTATAGCATTCATTGAAGCAAGATGCAAGGCATTTTCTGATTAGAAATCCCGCAAAGTTAGGATCCAAGTGAGTGCCATATGAATAGGCTTCAAAATAACATACACAAAATGATCCAAAGCATCCTCAAATCAAAAATAATTATACCGTTGCTAGCACATCAAGGTAGGCATCTATCTACTCATACAAACAGATTTTAATAGCCATCCTTGAGGATCCCATCACATCCCAAAAAACTGGCATACATCATTAGCCAGATATGAAATATTTAGGAATAAATTTAATGTGGATGGAAAACAAAGGCCAAAGATGAATATGAAAGCTGTCTCCATATCGTTTATGAAAATTGAAAAGCAGCTAACACTTATTTCACATAATGACTCGTGAGCATTTTAAAACAACAAACCAATCCAATAAAAACAATAATAATCCTGTTATCATTTTCAAACTATACAACTAGGGTGGCTTCTGTTGGCTTACTATTAATTTATTTTACCATTTAGGGAAACCTTCATTGAGAGAATTTTCATAAGAAAAAAAATATTCAAAGATGATGATAACAGAAGTACGGCATTTTATGCCACCACAATACCTTGGCAAGCACTGCATTTGACAGCATTCCTGAAAATTAAAAAGTTCCAAATTTTAGAACTGATAGAGATGGCACAGCGCCAAAATAAGTTCAATTAGTTGAAGAGAACCAAATTAAAAAAAAAAAAAAGCAATTTGAAATACCAATGCAGGACATCCTGATGACACGAACAACAACGACTCTTGGCCGTATTATCTTGCTTCCGCCAGAGATAGTAGAAAATACTCTTTTGAGAAGCTTTCCGCTGCCTCCTCTGCAGTTTAGACAGAACATCCACAGAGTTGCTTTTCTCCACTTTCTCTTCATAATCCTTAATCAGATATAAAGGGATGCGCGTCTCAGAGAACCAGTATCTCTCCTTTCCATCATCATGGAATTTCTCTACTTCTGCTACATTTTTCATCACACGAGAGGGCAAATGTTTCTGACTACCAAAAGCAACGCAGTATCTTATCTCATGTTCCAGAACTTTTTTATCACAAATAGAAGCATTTCTAAAAGCAGAAGCTTCTGTGTCAGGGCCTTTTCCATCAGGGGGGCCCTGTTCTGGACGAACGAGATCACTCCACCTCACATGGAAGTCAAGGTATCGAATCTGATGAAGCACCATTGTCTTATCAGGAAAGTACAAAAGGAGATTACCAGATATGATAACTGACTGAAGTAAATGCCCAGAAAAAGAACAAATGAACAGCACAACAATATAAAAACTTTCAAACTAAATAAATAAGTAAAGGGGCACCTGAAGTGCAAGTTGTGCTATGTTCCTACTCATTTCAACCGCTGACCGCCAGATAAGCCGCCTGCTACATTTAGGGGTCTCATGTCCTCCAACATATTGTACTCCAGGTATATTCTTTGAACCACCTGCCATGCTTATAACCAGTTAATAATATTATTCTCATAATTTGACAATTGCACACCCAGTGCCAATTGGAATCCTAGCCCTGAATCTTACCTTGACGGGCAGCTTTCCTAATCATTGAACGTGGAAGGATCGCTGTTTGAGACATAATCTTGTACAATGTACCTCCTCTCCACCAGGTAAAGTCATTCGACGAGTCCACGCAAACATCAGTTGCAACTTCTACAACGGCAGAAGGTTTCCTACCACGCCTTCCCGGTTTACGCTTCTGAACTGATCCAGCAGCATTTGCTGCAATCTGAACACTGGAAGGTTGAGTTGAGCAGCCACCAACAACCTTTACCCAGTCTCCAGAGAAGGCAATTGGGCGTACATTCTCCTCAAGCTGTAAATGCACACATAGTTTTAAACTGGAATATACTCAGCGATATATTTAGTTATTTACGAAAACGGTGCAGAATATAATCTGTATGCATATATACTGCAGTAAGCTATTTTCTAGAAACTCAGATTCATTAACCCTTGATTTCAAAAGGCATATCAAGGAAAACTAGTAAGAGGACATGCAGTCAGGCATGACTAAATTAAGCGGCCAGGCATGTAAGACAGTGATGCAACAAGATCAACTGACTTAACAATAATACAAGTTGAACAGTGATCTAATCATAAATTAGACTGAGGTACAACCGACAACAGAAATCAGATAACTTACTTCAAGCAAAAGGATCTTTATTGCATTGCAACTAGAAGCCTGTTCAACTTGCTTACGCCACCTTTTCCGAAAAGAATCATTATGGAAAGGACCGATAACAAGACTACTCAAGCTCTCCTCAATATACAAGATGTATGCGGTCATGCCAGCAAGTCTACTGTCCCCATTCTTTAAAGGACGGACACCTGCCAGAACTTTTGCTGTCCCTCTGATGGCATTTAAAGCAGCTGCATTTAACAAGCAGCCTCTCTTGCTTGACACTGTAGCTTTACATGAAAAGCACCAGGAGCATCTTTCCCTAGGTATGTCCACAAGCTTCTTCTCGGGATTCGGCCAGGAAAACCTCGTAGTTGCTGCAGAGAAAGCTTTTACCTGAAGTGAAATATTGTCCGACATACCTTTTCGGCGATTATTTGAAGAGCGGGCCTCAAGAACTTGGCTTTCTTCAGATGAAAGAATGGCCAACTTAGCAGCTGCAGAAGCAGCAAAATCTCCATGCAGGTAATTATTTATATAACCAGATGTCTTGAAGGAAGAGCCTGTGTACGAGCAACCACCAGATGGATTTCCACGACACTTGCTGTCAAACTTAATAGTTAGCCTCAGGTGTGAACGCGATATGTGAGATCCATTGGTAGCACCACACTCCGGATCACTGTTATTAGCATGGCAGGTTATTGTGGTGTTGGGAACAGCTCCTGTACCACTCTGTTGACTTTGTTTGCTTAACTCGTTGGTGTCAGCAGGGTGGCCTGTTAAACCACCAAATGGAATGTGCTCAACAATTGACGTGTTCATAACTGAAACAGACTGTTCTCTATTAAAATCTTCATTACCAAACTGATCGGATATGGATACTTTATCCAAAGAATTCTCATTTTCGACAGGCTCCTGCAGAGACTTAGTAAGACTTGAAGCAGCCATGTCTGCTGCATTTTTACCATTCTGATAACATCCAGTTTCCAATAAATTATCCAAATAACTGTTATATTCACCGACCCCTCTTTCATTTGCCACTGGCATTCCAACTTCAGACATTGGGAGGCTAGGTAAAATGTCTTCAGGTAGTTCCCAATACTGCATGATCCCCTTGCATATTTCCATATATGTGACGGCATGCTCTGTGTTTGAATAAAGACAATGGAGAAGTCTGGGAATGTCATGCTTCTTGTAGTATTTGAGACATATTTCAGAGTTATTTGAGGCTTCCAATCTGCAAAGTATATGCCAGAAAGATAAGATAGATTTTAGCAGGGTGCAAAGAGTCTTTAGTCATTAATGTTACACAAAGTCAACAGGAAAAAAGCCACAGGTAAGGAGACTGAAAGTAAATAACTCATGCACACTGTACAAAGTAGATTGCAGAATTTACTAAATCAAGGACATAAACGTCAAAAGAGAATAAGAAACATACACGAGTAAATGGTCACAAGTCGCAACAAAAACTTGTTGGTATGGATCGACACCAAAATTTTGCCCTCCCCTAAGAGCAGTTTCTCGTAAAATTTTAGGTTCAGTTGCATCTATTTTACACTCAGGACAATACCAGGAACCGTCTGGCATATGCGTCTTGCTCAGTCCTAAGCATCTCGAGTGATATGACGACGGGCACCCATCACAGCATAAAAGCAATCCATCCATGCCACAAATACGACATTCATCACCATTACTATCATCATCAGATGAAGTCCCAATTTGTTCGCCTAGCTGAGTCGAATGATTATCCACTGAAGATTTGATGTCATGATGCTCTGAGATACTTGCTTCAACACCCTTGGATGCAGATGCTTTATTGTATCTAGAACGAATTCTACTGGCTCCAACACTAGGTCTGATCACTGTATCCATATCAGCGTCTACTCCTACTTCTGATTCTACACGAATTTCCATTTCTTCTCTCAGTTCTTCAGAATCCATAACGTCATCACATAAAATCTGCAAAAGCAATAATTTTTGTCCAGGCGATAAAGTGTAATAATCTCTCTCCAAGGTATGGGTGTAGAATTTTTTGCCCTCAGTTCCCCTTTTGTAACCCATCGCCATCAGATAGTGGACCAAGTAGATTGGCCAAGTTAAGTTATCCAACAAGCTCCAGTCCAGACACCTATAAGTAGAAACACACAAGAGGTTTTAATAAGAAACTGATTATAGAAAAATGATTATAGAAACTGATTATAGAAGAATGACACACCCCAAAAAAAAAAAACAATGATAATTAATTAATTAAAGCAATAATTGGCTGCAGTCTCTACCAAGTGCATAGCAGTTAAATTGTGTATTTCAAGAATTGTATGTCATAAAATGATATAGTGAATAATAAGCATTGCTCAATATTACAATTTCAGGATAAAATTTAGCAAAAGCATAAAGGGCTTGAAACCTATAAGCTAACAGGAATACACAAATATTGTGCAAAAGAAGAGTTAGAAATGCAACCCTCACCGGCCTCGAACCCGCCTACATAAACATGATTAGAATTAAAATAAATCAAAAAAAGAATAGCTCCATAGAAAAGCTTGAAATGGTAAAAGGGATTTTACAAGTACCTCAAGCATTTTGATGCAAGATCCGAACCTTCTGATGAGAGCCTCTCAATGTGGCGTTTCAGGACACGCAACAGAGCAACATGAACAGAGTCCAACAATGTATTCGCGACAGGCCAATTGAGTGCACCCACAAAATCATCTAATCCAAAGGGGTATAGAAACAGCTGCAAGCTAAACGACCGTAAGAAACCATGAACTGCGAAAAGGTGAGACACATACTCCTCTGGAACCCCAATATGCCCAGAAGAAGGAGGTAATTCTGGTGGTGGAATAAGGGGCCCTTCCATCTCGACATTAGCATCCTGCCCTTGAAAATCTTCGCATGAATCGCTCAAAACATCAGCATTGGCATCATCATTACTATCATTAAGAGCATCCATTACTACATTGGCGCTTGTTTCACCATTGCTCATCTCATTATGCGCTGATGAATCAGCCAGGTTCGCTTTTGGTGCCTCCAGTGCATCAACTTCCAAAATCTTTGCATTTACGTCTTTACCTAATAATAACGCATCCAACTTTGATTTCCTCTCAGACCACTCACCATTTAAATCGCAATCTTCCACTAAAAACCCCTTAACTTCCATACTATCCAGATCCTCAAAATCCCCATCCTCGTAGTTTATCCTATACAAACCGGTATTATAACACACAACTTTCCCCAAGAATACCCCACTGCAGCCAAACTCTTTCCTAACATATCTTCCCACGATTTTTAATGACCTCGTCTCTTTTACCCTTTTGCCGACATTAGAATCCATCACGTTTGGTTCATCAATTTTCTTCCGCTTTCTTCCCCGCCTCTTGGGCTCAACTACCACAGGCTCCATTTCACCACCAACCCTAATTGAATCCCAAAAGGACAGCCTAAATCTAATCCAGCATCTCAACCTCTTCTCCCGACATTTCAGCAGCAGTACCCAGAGGACGCTCCCTGAAAACCTATCTGTCTGAACCTCACACTTCCCGTGGCCTTGAGAACGCTATAACGAAATTAAAATTGAATGTTAATCAATTCTCATACAAACTAAAATAATATGAATTATCAAACGATGTTAACACAAGTGGATGTTTTAGATCCACGATTAAAAGCTAAAACCTAGAACTTTGAAGCTAAAATTCGTAAGAAAAAACAATTCTTTAGCCAATAACTAAGTCGATTCCGATACTGATTACAATCGAAATTAGGGTTCGTGTGTAAACGCGAGGATACATGTGCAGTTATAACAACGAAAGTGTAAAAACCTAATAGATAGTACCTTTTTGTTGGATGTACTCTAATGGATCACCGCCATTGAAGAAGGTTTGAGAAGAAAGAGAAAAGGAGATGTAACACGGTAGACGCTGTGGTGTTGATGTGATGCGATTTGGGATATATGGTGAAATTAGCCCAAACCATTAACACACTCATTTGTTGAACCATAGATTCTCTGCACCTTCGGTAGTAAACAGTATATTACTTACTATTTGAGTCGACTCGTAAATCGCCCGAGTCAAAACTTTTTATAAAGGATTTCAAAATTTCTAACTTATTATTATTATACTAATACAGTGCCCATGCGATGTATGGGGCTTTATTATTTCTTTCTTTTTTAAAAGACAATTGTATATTCAAATTAAAATTGTATAATAAAGGACTATCATGATATTATTAAATATAATGAAAATGAAATATCTATATTATTAAACACTTTTTTATATACACAATTATTAGATACAATGATAGAAAAATATATGAATAGTCATTGCTAAGACTCTAAATCCATAATTGAGAAGACGACCATTTAGGTTGGAACTCCTTTGACAATCTTCAATTGAATATATAGGTTGTATGGAAACAACCAATCCAATAATATCTACAAAAATATAAGACAATTCATCATATTAATGATTACTCATTAAGATAATTTGGGTCTGTGTTTTTTTGTCTTGCTGCTATTTAGCTGGTAGTTAGTGTTTTGGCTGTTATGAGGCAGTCTGTTTTTGTCTTGGTTGTTTTCTCTGTTCCTTTGGTGTGGGTGTTATTGCTTTGGTCAGATTGGTGTTGTTTGGGACTGAAGTTTCGTAGCTTGTTGCTAGCTTCTATCCTATGGTTAGTGTCTTGTAGTTTTAGCACATTGTTGTAGTGTTGCTCTCAGGACTTGCGGCCATCTCGGGTGTTTGCTCGTTGTACTGTTTATGTTTCTTTGTTTTGTTATGAGAATTCTACCGCTTGAAAAAAATAAAAATAAAAAATATTTGATAATTTGATAAAGGTTTCACATTTTTTACTTGATTCAATTTCATTTTTAAAATTAATTAGATAATGATTAACACAAAGTTGAGAATCTAATAGATATTGTTAGAAAATTAAAAAATGATAGAAAATCTAAATTGATTTGATTCTCATTACCTAAAAATCTCTAGATTTTTATGGGATACCAATTGATTACTCTAAAGAGTTGTATTGGGTGTATAACTATTAGTTGGAAAAAAACCTTCGCATATAGGCACAGAATATACATTTCAACATTAATTGATTGGTTTGATTTTTTCAAAAAGCAAAAATGTCAAATTGTGAAAATTAACACAGATTTTGTTAGGAAATTTAAAGAGGATGATTTTATGGAAGATAATTATTTGTTGACATTTTTTAATGTGTATCAAGATTTACTTGAAAGTGTTGTATTGGAAGTGTATCACTATTACTTGTGAATGACCAAATTTTAAATGATTTGAATTCGAATTTTAAGTTGATTTGAATTTATTTTCATAAATAATTTGTTTATGATTGATGTCAACAAAATATTTATCCAATTTTATTTTTAAAAAAAAGTGTATATGAAACATGTTGTATATTGTCTTCGAAATACTAAAAAGCTTCAAATTATGTTATGTTATTTTTAAACATCAATAAGATAATAAATTAGTTAAAAAAAGTTAAAAAAAAAAAAAGGATTCAAATTATGCGTGAGGATGATATGGGATTAAAAATTATTTCACCATATCAACTTGACTTTATTTTTACCAAAAATATTGGATTTTATTATCATCAAATAAGGTAAGACTTTTGGATTAATTGAAAAATCAAATT